ATGAATGAATGAATGAATGAATGAATGAATGAATGAATGAATGAATGAATGAATGATAAAGTTGGGAAGGATGTTAGAGGCCACCTTAGTCCACCCCATGCTCAGTGCAGGATCCCCTACAGCCTCTCTGGCAGATGACCATCCAGATTCAATCTGAAGATCTCTAGTGAAGGAGAACTCAGTACGTGATGAAGTATCCTGTTCCACTGGCTGACAGCTCATACAATCAGGAAGTTCCTCTTGTTGTCTAGCCATATGCCTCTGTGGTAACAGTCTTCCCTCTTGATCTCATGTTGTGGTCCAAGTGAGGACATAGTTTTGCTGTTTGCACCAGGATTTCTTCTGAAATCTGACGAGCCTCAGGATCTCATTTCATGTGCATTCCCCCATTGGTGTTTTCATGTTGTGCCTCTGAGTAGTATCCATGTTAGATTCCTTGGTCCACGCATCAATTGAGTTGGGTGGGATGCCCATCTGTGTGCAATTCCTATTACCCCTGGAGTGGAGACATTTGGCTGGTGAAAAAGATGTCAAGTGTTCTACCCTCCCTTCCCTGCACACCAACGGAATAGGCCACTGGAGGAGGAAAGCCTCCTCATTCACACATTGTATAGAATTGCAACTCTCAGCCCCTTTTCTTCCAGCCCCACCAATTTAGTGAACATTTGTCCAGATTAAAATAGGGATAGGGATGTTAAATCTCCTCTGTGTCTCTTCAGAAGGAAGTGGCTGATGCTGTAATTCACAGCTATATCCTTTGCCCTTTGTCTTGTGTTTTCTCTTTGGTGAATTGTAACTGCGAAGTGCATATCTTAGCAGGTGATAAGAAGTCGGATAAAAGGGGTAGGGGAATAAAGATAGGGATGAAGACTACAAACAGCTCTTTTGGAAGCTGGGAGCATTTGCAGAGGATATAAATTTCGTATTCTTAGATCTGTGATATTGTTAGAAACGAATCTTGAAAGTCAGAGCAACTGAGCAGTACTTCTGTGACAGAGCTTTTTATCTTTTTCCATTATAAGGGTTCTCTCTTCAGGCATTTAATGTGGCAGGCAAACTCAAGCCACTTTAATCTTTCCCTCACACATACTTTTTGCAGCTACCTTACTGATGTGGATCGTATTGCCACCCCAGGGTACCTCCCAACCCAACAAGACGTTCTGCGGGTCAGAGTTCCAACAACTGGGATCATAGAATACCCCTTTGACCTCGAGAACATTATATTCAGGTAATGTTCACAGCTTTCTTTTATGGATATCTGATATTTACAGGGTGATTTTCCGTATGTTCAAAACCAACTTATATAAAAGCATAATAATATAACTTCAGTCTGTGGAGTTTGGGCTTTAGCAGGTGGGTAAACCAGTGCCTTTTCCCAGCATGCTTCTCCGTGTCTTGTTGATAAATCCAGCCTTTCCAAGAGACTACCACTTTAATGTGGTGGAAGAACTCACTAGCTTTCATGACCCTGACCACAATGTCAGCAGGAGCACGAACCCTTGATAACATCATCTCTGTCAGTTAAGGTCAAAAGGAGAGAGATGAAGCTAAGAATCACCACAAAATGCTGGCAGGTGGGGCTCTGGAGGCACGGGGGAAGCCAACCACCTTAGAAAAGTAACTCCAGAATGAAATACAGAAGGCAGCAATGGCCAGTGCTTCTGTCTTGTTGCCAAGAAGATTGAATGTAAGGCTGTAACTTTTAGATGAATCTGGCGCCAGATGCTGGGAGCTGTCATCCCACCTCCACCTCTGTCAGAAGGCACTCCTCTAGTTATTTTCCCCTGAGTAGCTCTGGAGGTGATGACGCACAGACCCGTAGAATAAAGGAGTCTGGTCACTGCTAGGGTCAGTAGTGAAAGAGGAATCCCTCGTTTTGCAAGGACATAAGAATTGGGACTCAGAATGTGAGATGCACGAACCAAAGAGAACTTAAAATTGTGAAAACAGAAATGAAACATACTGAATTGGGTGTTCTAGAAGTAAGTGAATGTAGGTGGTCCTGAATGGCCAGTGTGACTTCAGATAATTACGTGGTGTGCTATTCAGGCTGTGAGACAGTAGGAAGGAATGGAGTGGCAAAAATGACATTACCAAGCATGAGTAACTCATTGGCTGTAACGCAATAGATAGTAGCATCATATCTATTAGAATTACTGGTTATCCAGTAAATGCCCATGTTACACAAGTGCAAGTTTTCATTACACACTCAGTAGTGGAAGATCCTGAGGAATTTCGTGGCAAAGAGCAAGCAGTGCTACATGCAGCATTTAAGAAGTATATAGTGTTGTTCCATATATAGACTAAAACATCTAAAATGCACATGATTTAATTTGTGGATATGCCTTCTGAAATCCGCTGTTCCGTATACAAGACATTTTGCACATCTGTACAAAGGATGTAGGCCTTGAGCAACTAGAAGAGTGGCAGAAATATAAAGACATTTTAAGAAAAGCAATATAAAATAAGAGAAATCAGGAAAATGTGCAGCTCACATTGAATGAAACTCAATAATAATCAGGGAAGGGATCTAATACAGGCAAATTAGGTTAAAGGGAGACAGAGAAACTATACAGAAACCTTTAATGGGAAACAAGATTATAGAATAACAAACCTTTATAGAGAAGCTAGAAAGCTCACTAGAAAATGAGATATGACAGGCAATAGAATAAGAAAATACAGGTGCAGCTGTAATGCCCATTTTAATGTTAGGAGTAGAGTTAAAGTGGAAACAACTGAACAAGTTGTCAAGTGCTATCCAACAAACATGGAACACAATGGCATGGCCATAGAGTTTGGAAAGGATGTATATATCTCTATTGAAAAAGGGAGATGAAAGAGACAGTGCAGATTTCTGAACCATTGCTTGTGTGAGGAATTAGTACTAAGATCTTACAAGAAGAATAGAGTCAAACAAGGAGGGAGAAATGTCAGATGAACAGCCAAGACCAGCTAGTTAACAAAAGATAGACAATTTAGCGGCATTTCTCAACCTTAGCAACTTTAAGCTATGTGGACTTCAACTTCCAGAATTCCCCAGCCAGCCAGATGAAGTCCACATAGCTTAAAGTTGCCAAGATTGAGAAACGGTGCAATATAGAATGGTTTACTTTTGTTTATTGATTATATGATTGCATAGCTTATGCCAGAATGTGGACTATATTAAGGCTAATTGTGAATCAGAACACTTGGTTATTGAAGAACCATTAGAGGAACTAGAAGCTGCTGAATTTGGAGTATTTCAGAACACAAAAGGGAGTAACTTATACAGTGAATATATTACAAAAATGGCAGGATTAGAAGAGAGAGTTGGAATCAAAATCATTGTTGCAGCATTGTTTTAAGATATGCAGGTTATACTCACAGAAAGTAAAGAAGAGCTAGAAAACCTAATTATAAACACAATGGGAAGTGACTAATTTGAGTTCATGTTAAATATTAAAAAGATAAAACTAATGTAAATTTGCTGTTGACAATGAAGAAATGTATTTGTTTTCTTGGGTTCAAGAATAGATAAAAATGGTAGTGTGTGCTGGAGAAATAAAGAGGAGATCAATCTTAGGAAGGAAAGCAATGACAAACTTAGATAAGATTATGAAGGGGTTCTATGACAACAAAGATCATAACAATAAAGCAGCAGTTTTCCCAATGGTAATACATGGCTATTAAAGCTGGAGTTTTAAAAAGAGCAGGAGAAAGCAAAGAGATGCCTCTGAATTAAAGATTTTGAGAGGGTTACTGAATGTGCAGTAGTGTTCAATTTTGAATAGCAAGAACTAATCATTCAGTCCTGAGCCTGCCTGTCTGTCTCTCTCTCCCTTATATTTGTTAAACTCCTCAGTCATAAAATTCTGGGCAATGTACTACAGAGTAACAGCAAACCAGAGATTTGCAACTAATAAAATAATTAGTTAAAGATAAAACAAAAATATACATGTGTAGAAGTGCCTTGGGCCAATCAGCTGGAGCTAAAAGCTCATTGAAAAAGGAAGATTTTCATAATTTTTCTGAATAGAAGTGAAGGTGTCTTCTGAGCCTCTTTTTGGGAGGTGACTTCAAGTCAGTTGACTCCTTGTGACTGCTTGGACTAGTCCTTACCGTTTTCTTGGCAAGATTTTTGGAAGTGGTTTGCCAGTGCCTTCTTTCTAATGCTAAGAGAGATGGACTGGCCCAAAGTCACACAGCTGACTTCATGCCTAAGGTGGGACTAGAACTCATGGTTTCCTGGTTTCTAGCCCAATGCTTTTAACCCACTACACCAAACTGGCACTCTCTGAGCCTCAGGGGGTAAAGTATTTGATAACATGAGGACTGCTGCTTCATCCAAGTTCCATGAATCTTGCAAGGAGAAGAGGCTCCCTGCAGTCTTTCATGACAGGTCCAAACTGAATGGGTGGCATTAACTATGGCAATAATAAAGACTTATATTACTAAATAAAAACTCACATGCTTTGACATGTTATGCAAGAGCAAGTGATAGATTAGGAAGAGGAGGAGGAGGCGGCAGCAGCAGAAATACCCATGCTCCTGAGCCTGAAAAGCTGCAGCCGGTCATGGTAGCAGTAGATATACACACCCCTGGTCTTGAGTTTGATCACTGAAAGTCACATCTTTAAAACCCTGCAGGAAAACCAGTTAAACCATTGAGAAGTGGCTTCCAGCCTCTTCTTAAAATCTTCCACAGATGATGAACCCACCCTGTAGGTAGATTGTTCCACTATTGTAGAGATCTTGCCATCAGGAAGTCTCTCCTTATATTAAACAAAGTCTGGGTACTTGCAGCTTGTACCTATTGTTTCTGGTTGTAGTTCTTGTGGCCATGAAAAAGAGTTCCTGTCCATTTTCCTTGTAGCTTCCCTTCATGTACTTGAACACATAGCCTGAACATCCTCAGTTCCTTCAGCCTGTCTTTCTAGAGCAGGTCCTCAAGCCCTCATATCATATTTGTTGCTCTCCTGTGGACCTGTTCCAACTTGTCAATAGCCTTCTGCAAATGTACTTAAAGTCATATACAGCACTTCAGGTGTGGTCTCACTGATGCAGAGTAGAGCAGAATAAGAACTTCATGACTCTTTGATACAATGGTATTTGGGAAGTGCTTTTATCTAAAGTGTCATGTCTAGAGCTGGACACAGTACTCAAAACGTGATCAGTTGCATGTTCTTTCACCTAGTGACAATGAAATATCATGCTAGAGCAGTGATCTGAAGGCTTCACAAAAAAGATGGATTGTAGCAGAGAACTTTAAGGAAATAATGAAGATTTTCATTTCAGCTTCATGGAAAACCACTATACAGATTACCTTTCTCACACCAGCCTTGCTGTCCCCGAACAATTCTGCTGTTGCACACATACTGGATATGCCATTTTTTTTTAACTTGGGGATTGGGAATGTTGACTGATCAGTGAATAATCAAGGCCTGATTTTTTTCCCCTCCCTTCAGAATGGTGGATGTTGGTGGCCAGAGGTCAGAAAGGAGGAAGTGGATACACTGCTTTGAAAATGTAACCTCCATCATGTTCTTAGTAGCTCTTAGTGAATATGACCAAGTACTGGTGGAATCTGATAATGAGGTAAGCAAGATTGCTAGCAGCTGGCATTGGCGTGCGGTTATTGCTGTCCCACTGATGGCGAAGTGGCTGAAAAGCTACCTTGTCAAACTTAAATCTTTTTAAGGAGGTGAATCGGGACATACTAGCAAATGTGCCTTCTTCTCTCCACTCCTCTCCCATATTTTCAGCATTTGTAATCTTTCATCTGTCTGGAACATCAGAGTGAGCAAAAAGATATAAGCAAAATATAGTTCAGTCGGTCAGTTGCTGAAAAGCTTCCCTGCAGCCACCTTCATCCTGGGCTGACAGATTTGTCTCAGGTCATCTTCAGGGAGGAATGGTTGAGCAGAGAAGCTTTTTATAGATGGCCCTGTCCCTGAGGAGCTTTGTCCATGAAGTCCGGTCTCCCGGCCTGAAGAGAATAGCACCTTCATCTCCTCAACAATGATACTGTTTTGTAGAAAGTGAAGCCTCTGTCCTTTTCAAGCACTATTTCTAGGCCCAAGATTTAAAAACGGGGGGCTTAGAAGGCATGCCTCAGAGCTAAAATGGAGATGCTCCTTCAGTTCTCAGTTAGGTGGAATAGCAGCTTGCTGCCTCTCTTTGCAGAGAATGACCCATAAAATATGGGTGGGGATCAAAGATTGCTACTTGGCTTTCAAACTGATCATTTGTGCCCCGCAGGGTTCTTCTCTGGGTGTTGGGCCTTGAGGGCCCAGAGGATGCCGAGGTTCTCTTTTTCCTGAATATACAGAAAATCAACAAACGTTTGGCTTGTTTTTTCTGAGCCTTGCAGTCCACGCTCCCTTCACATGAAAGAACAAGGAGCCAGCCCTGTGTACACATTTATAACACAGTTCTGGCAAGCAGGCAGGCTTGGAGTTGTTGCCCTGCTTTTTTCTCCCTGTGGTCAACTGTTTGCATATTTTAACCTTTTTCAGGTTTTCTAGATATCTTGTTGAAAAGAGTGCAGTAAAATCAGGAGGAAACCAAACCTTGACAAACAGGGAAAAAAGAGAATACAGGGCATATGCAGCCACATTTAAGAAGTAGTACAGCTTAGTGCCAATAAACGTATTGAGCTTTCTAGGGCATCCAGTTGGCTCTTTAGTTTTTGGTGGAGTTCCTGCTATAGATAAAACCATAGGAATGAAGGAAGGCTGGCTGCTGATAGAATGGAATATATTAGTGTGTTTTCCCTCTGCTTGAACAGAACGACGAACTAGGGACAGCTAATTAAACTCTATTGGAAACAGCCAGACCCTAGAACCACAATCCTACATACAGCTTCTGCTAAAGTAGTTTTATCATTATGAAAGGGGATATTACGTAGTTGCCTGTTTCGCCTATATTCAGGTGTTTTCTCCCAGTTGTCATTCCCCTTCCTTCAGTAGCAGCCTAGGATGAACTTTTGCAGCCTTACAAAGAAACAGCACCCTTCAAGAGTTAGATGATGCCAGGGTTGAGGGAAATGGTATCTCTTCCAAATTTAGCAGAGTTATGGAAATTCATGTTAAACTGCTTTAGGGATTGTTGTTGTTCTTGTTGCAAAGCAGCATCTGGTTCTGACATGCTTCTTACATGAACTAGGAGGGGTGGGTTTCCTTAACTTTATCCAAATCGATAGAAAGCCACTGGCAAGAGATTAAGGAATGGCTGAAAGTGGACACGGCAAACACTTCTGTTAGCCTATATACAAGGCTTGTCAAAAACTATGAACTCCTTGTTTACGTGTTTATTTCATCCATGGATCTAAAAGCTTTTTTCCCTTAAAGAACCGCATGGAGGAGAGCAAAGCCCTTTTCCGGACCATAATCACCTACCCCTGGTTCCAGAATTCTTCTGTCATCCTCTTTCTCAATAAGAAAGATCTGCTGGAAGACAAGATAATGTACTCTCACCTTGTGGATTATTTTCCAGAGTTTGATGGTAAGAAGTTACTTTTCAAGAATTAAAACGGGATTAGTTCCGCTGCTTGTAAGGCAGCATGTCCAGCAGTTGCATCCACTTTTGTTCTTGTGGCCAGAGGCTTGAAAACTGCAAGGAAGGGCTGCAGTGCACAGGTGGAGTGTTTTCCCTGCAGAAGGTCTGGGCTTTGTCCAGGGCAGCTTCAGCAAGGTGTGGGAAAGACCTCTGCCTTAAATGCTACCTTGGCCTGCTAGTCTGTAGAGGTGGATCCAAGTCTGACGCAGTAGAAATCTACTTTTTCTGAGTGTTTCCCTGAGCCTGGGAAGGGGACAGAGTAGCAGGAAATATGGCTGACGCCTGTATGGTTCTGACCCTTTCCTCCCAACTCTGGGAGCTGGCATTTAGGCTGGACAGGCAGGAGGCAGCTTGGTCTCTGGACAGGCAGTTCACAAGAGGCTAAAGTTTAAATTTTTACAAATGGAGAGTTAGGCTGCTTGTCAGAGGTTCTTGTGACTCCTTTGTTGGTAGTGTCCCACCCAGTTCTAGTCAAGGAGAGGTGATTTACCTCTCTTCCCAGAGGCTGCAGAACAACTGGAAGTTGATGAGATCCATCCTCTTGGGGACAAGAACTGAGCAACAGCTGCTCTTGATCAGAGCAGCTTCTCCTTTCTGTCAACATCCAGATAGCCTTCTCCTGGTGAGAATATCCTCATTATAATCATGGTTCTCTCCATTCTGTCTCCAGGCCCCCAGAGAGATGCCCAGGCAGCCCGGGAATTTATCCTCAAAATGTTTGTGGATCTAAACCCCGACAGTGATAAAATTATCTACTCTCACTTCACATGTGCCACAGATACGGAAAATATCCGGTTTGTCTTTGCTGCCGTCAAGGACACCATCCTGCAACTCAACTTGAAGGAATATAACCTAGTCTGACCTTGAATCGTCTGCCCTCTTCTCCCACCCTCCCATCTGCCCCTCCCTTAATCTCCTTGGGAGACCTTTTGTCGTGAAGAAAGTAAGACAAACGAATCCCATGAATTTAAACAAACAAAAAATGTACAGGAAAACAATCTTGATTTTTAATGATGTAATGATTGCAAATTGTCTGATCTGTGGAATGGCAATTTTTTTTTTTAGCTCACTGTTACCTTCAGTCTCATGTCTGCCCCACAGAAAAGCTGATTTTTTAAAAAAAATTGCTTTTATTTCAGTTTAAAAACAATGGGGGACGTGTTTCACTCTTTCTCTCTGGCACCTTGTTAATTTCCTGCTTTGTTGCCAGCAGTCAAGGCAGTTTCCTCTCAGACTCTGTCTGTTGCATTAGTAAATTCTTTTCCTGTCTGATCTGGCGATAAATGAATCCCAGACTATCAAGCCAAAATAAGGATCTTATTTGGCTGTGGGAGTATGAAATGCAGCTAGGACCTTCAGCTTGTGCCATATAATGCCTCTGGTGTAACTCCTCCCCCCCCGCACATCCTGACCAAAGGGATATGTGCCGAAAGGGTATATCTAGATGACATCACAAGAGGAAAAGCCCACTTTATTTTGCAGTAGCGCAAAACAAGCCATCCTTTGGTTCCTGCATTTCTTTGTGCCGTTTTACTCTAGCTTTTTTCCTCTTACCAATTATGAAAGTTATATTGAGACTGTGATTTTTTTTTTTAAATTATTGTTCTATACATAGTTTGCTACACGTGCTATACTTTTGTTCATTGACTACCAACCAAGCAATAGCTATCAAGCCTGGGGGAAGTGCCTGATTGCGGTTTTTGTTTTGTTATTTTTTGTTTTGTTTTGTTTTGTTCTGTTTTTGTTTTCGGTTTTAGCATTTAAGAAAAAAAGTAAACTTGCTTCTCGCCCAGAGCTAGAGGCAAAGGTATTCTGAGAGGGTGATGTCCCTCTGGTGAAGCCCGAAATCTGCACCAGATTTTGGATCAGAAGGAAGGTTTGAGGTTCTGACTCATTCTCTTGGATCCTTTTTGTGTGTGTGTTCTGCCAATAACCCTTTGGGTTAGTAAGAGTCCTGACCCAATGTGGCAGGTTTGGAGGAAGAACCTTCGTGGGGAGGGTTGGAGGCGGTGTCTGCATTCTGAGTCATGCTGAGGCAGCCTTTTGCCTCTCCTAAAAGTGTTGGAAGGGCTTGCAAGTTCTTTGAGTTGTTGCAGCCTCGAAGGGGGCCAATTTGAATGACATTGCCAAGGCTGGTGTGATCGGCGGCTGCTGCCACCCCTCTTCCCATCTCCTGACCCTGGATGGCTTTGTTCTGTCGGAAGCAAACTCACTCCGGGAGTGCCCGTGCGCACGCGTGAAAGAAGCCCGGGCCAGAACCAGCAGAAGGGCCTGTGGAATGGAGATGGTAGAGGTTAAGGTCTGAAGTGGGCAAGGTGAGAGGTTTCCACTTTTGGATTCTCAGTGCCAAATGTGTTCCCGTAAAACCTGCTTGAAGCCAGTGCCAAACCCCCAACTTTGCTGGTCTTTCTGGAAGGCAGATTGCCACAGTACCCAACAAGTGACACTAGAGAATAGATGGGGTTTCTGAATATGTCCCCTGGATGTAATGTGTAGCATCAACAGTATAAGTGACTCGGAACTGCTAACCACCAAATTTACAGATGCCACAAGAATCAGCCTTTTTATGAAAAGGACAACAGCCCAACCCCCGTAATGCGGGGTGGCAAAGGATGGGAGTGTCAAATATGCTTTTACGTTGCAACGGGCAACACTAGTTGAACTTCCTTGCACGTGACGTAATGAAGGGTTTGGGGACGTGTTTTGGTTCAACACAAAAACACTAATTTCACATGGACATTTGCAGCGTTCCGGGTGGGGTGGGAGGGGTGGAAGAGGGTGCTGCCTTCAGCTTTCTGGGACTGCCCCATATTGTGGAACACTACGGAAGAAAGCCGGGGAGCTGCGTTTGGGAGGGGCTCCCGCTTGCTGTTGCATGATTTCCGACAACACGCCGTGAGTGAGAAGTTGTTAAATTGGGAGACAGATAAAGAGTAACTACACAAAAGGGCTTGTTGGGTTGATGAGAGGGGAGAATGGAGCAGTTGCTGTTTTCCAGCGTCACCAACATTCCTGACTTATTGTTCTGGTCTAAATGTTTTGGGGATCATGTCGAGGGGGCAAATGGATCCCCTGGTAGGCAGAGGAATAGCTATGTGTTGAATCTGTGTTTTCGCCCAAAGACCCGGATTTTCTTCTGCAAGAGGAGTTCTGTTCTTGCAAAGGTGCCATGGCCTGCTCTTGAAGCCTCTCGCCGGAAGCGTTCTCTTGCGCAGAGTGAGCCTCTGCCTCTGCGGCTTGGTTCATGGCGACCCTTGGGCCTGCAGCTCTGAGATGGGGAGCCGGGAAAGGGACTGCTTGGCCACCTCTCCTGCATCGTCTTTCCAGGCCTCCCTGCCTGAATCGGGGCCGGGGTCCTCCACATGTGCCAAGGGGGCTTTTAGTCCTGTGCAGGCCATTAACCTTTGGGCAAATGGGGCGGGAGGGGCAGCTGGGGGCCGAGTGGAGATTTGTGAGCGACCTCTTCTGTTCTTGTGAAGCCGCTTTGCACGGACCAGCCGTTGGGATGGACGCCCCACCCCAGTTTCTGCTCCTGAATGTGCCAACCCCCCTCGGCCATCGTTTTGTTCCTCCCCCCCTCGGTTGGGCTGATGGGAGCTGGTCAAGGTTCCAGATGACCCCAAAAGAAAGATGCAGAGTTTTCGAAATCGGGCCTGTGCATGGTGGAGGGAGCCAAAGTTAAGACGAGGGAGCAGTCTGACCAAGTTCTGTTCACAGTGCACTTTATATGAAGAGTCCTACTGAAGACGCACTAACCTGCTCGCACACTTCATCTGACTGTATGCGGGAAGAGGATTGCAAAACGCATCATTCCATTTCCTTCTGGAACTTTGCAACGATTGGCCACCAGACTAGCAGCTGCCCCCCTCCCCTCCCCTCCCCTCGCCTCCCTTCCCTTGAATCGAATTATTCATCTGCTTTTGCCTTCTATTGCGTGTTCCCCCCACCCACATGTTTTATTGCTACTTTGGGGAGGGTGGGTGTGCTGGCCACTGGATTGCGCTTCACCGGAAAGGAAGGATGAGTCCACCATCTGAGGTTCCAAGTCTGTAATTCAGTACTCTGTGTGTGCGTGTGCGTACGTTGTATACTTTTTTTTTTTAAAGCATTACATGGTTTTGTGCCAATGCCCCATTCTTTCTTTAGTACCAGAGACTCTTTTACAAGTACCAGTGTGGTGAAAAATTATTTGGTTATACTAGTATATTATTATAATAAGAGAACCTGATTTAAAAGAATAACATTTAAACATCCTATTTAAAAGAAAACAAACTACTATATAAAAATGCTGTTTTTAAAACCTTTTTTGTCATTTTGAACTTGCATGTGGTGTTAACACGTGGGGGTGGGGGTGGGCAAAGGAGGGGATTTGGAATTAACGTGGCCCGGGATTGGTTTTTTTTACCCACGTTCCTGTCTTGCTCTCCAACGGCGAGAAGGCAGAAACCGGGTTTCTCGGAACACTTGAATTCTTTCATCTGCTGGGTGCTGACCCTCCTTATTTTAGAAGTACCTGATGGAAATTGATTTTCATAGCTTTCTCCTGAATAAATTGTTTGAAATTGGAATAAAATTCATTCCTTACAAAAATCGTTCTCTGTGTTCCTTGTTCCCTGTGTGTGCTTTTTTAAATTAAGCAATTAAATTGGATGCAAACCAAGTTGGCAAGTAGCTTATTTGCCCCAATATGTATTGTTGAGAGGCGTTTTGATGTACAATTGGCTGAAGAAAAGGCATTCTCTTGTATTGCGGTGGGAGAGAGGCTTGTTCCAAAAGCTCAGGCGAATGGCTATTCAAAGCACGTTTTATAGAATATTCAGTTGGCTTTTACCACAATAGGCCAAATCATGCCAAAAGTGTTCCCATTGCTGGTTTTGAACTTTTGGACTTACGTTCCCAATATTTATGGAGCACACAGAATTGGAGAAAGTTAGACTTAAGCTGTAAGGCAGGATTAATTCACCATTCTGTGCAAATCCCTTGAAAGTAATGTGCGGCTTGTCGCTGGCAGAGTTAAAAGTGATCCTGCGACCAGTTGTACGGGGTCCTGGTGATTCCCAAGACTTGGCTTAGGAGAGTCGTGTAGACCCATCTGGTCTTAACCCACATGGGTGTCGGTGGCCCTCTGCTGTCTCTTGGCCTAACAGAAGTATTGGTTTGGGCAGGAAATCGAAGTAGAATCCCTCATTGATAAGACATTCTGAGCAAGTCCTACGTATGAAGAAGGCAGAACGGCTGAGCAACTTATAGGAGTTAGGTAGCAAACTTCAAGTGTGTGATGAGACCCATCATAGGGTTGGAACATGCAATGAAATCCTGTTCAGTCCCAGAATCCTAAATAGGGCACTTAGACCAGTGTTTCTCAATGTTGGCAACTTTAAGATGTGTGGACTTCAACTGGCTGGGGAATTCTGGGAGTTGAAGTCCACACATCTTAAAGTTGCCAACATTGAGAAATGCTGACTTAGATGGTTCTCCAGCTTCTGGGGAGCCCATGACTATTCCAGGTCATTGGTTCCACTGCTGAACTGGTCTTTCTGTTAAAGAGTCCCCCTCCTCCCCAAACAACCTATTGGAATTTGCATTCCTGAAAATTTCCATCATTTTTCTGTGTTCCCCCACTCTGGAATGGTGGAGGAGAGGTCATGAGCTATGCAGTACTGTTCCAGGCATTTGAAGAGAGCTGTCATTTTTTTCCCAGACCTAAACCTCCAGCTTCAGTCTTCACAGAACTTGGCTTCTAGTCCCCTGATAATGCTGGTTGCTCTTCTTGAAACCTGTTCCAATTCCTCCCGATGCGATGCCTCGAAATGGACACCGTGCTCTAAGTGGGGCCTGACTGAACCAGACTAAAGGGAAGCAATTAATTTACCACAATACTCAAAATTGCATTTGTGCTTTTTGCAGTTTCACGCTCTTCCTTTCGGCACATTCTACCGTGTTAATTCTGAATTTTGGTTTGGTGTCTTAGGGTATTAGCTATGTCGCCCCTCCCCTTTTTTTTTCTTTTCTTTTTTGGTCTGCCAGTTCGATAAGCTTTCCCTCCAGGACTTTGAGTCATTAATATTGTCTAAAAGAATGGAAAGTAGACCAAGACTGATCCATGACACCTCTCTCCAATTTGAGGAGGAACAACGGATAAACCCCTTTTGACCACGATTCTTGAGTCAGCTGTGTCTCTCCTTCATTGTCCTCTCCAGCCCACAATTAAACAGCTTCCTAAAAATGTCTGTCTATATTTCATCAAATGCTTTGCTGTACAGGAGTCAGGATGTATTATTATACAGGTATTCATGCCCACCTACCCGCCCATCACACACTTTCCTTTTGAGATAAGCAGTAGCAATAACAAAAGTGGGAGCTAGGAGAAAAGGAAATTAACTGAATCTAGGTTATACGACACCGTTCACTCTACTTTTCTGTCTTTGTTTCTATCACGTCCATGCATGACCTCATATGCATTTTCTTTCCTTTTAACGTCCGCCCCCTCTTTGAAGATCTCATCAACCTCATCAAACCTTGATTTTCTCAATTGTCCTCTTTCTTTCAGCCCGTTCCCTCTTCCTGCATACAGGAGACTAGTTTTTGGTTGTGATGCAATCCTCATTCATACCATCCTCATACCTCTACACGCTTCTGCTAGCCGATTCTTTTTCTATTCAATCCACATTAAGTCTCATCTGGATTTTTTTTTTTTTTGTTTCCCCACCTACACAAACTTCTAAAGTATTGTATCCCACTTTAACTGCGTTCAACGTATTTTTATGTTTCTCTTGACATACCGATTCTCACTTCTCAAGTGGCCAGAAGCACGATCTTATACATGGCTATCTTCCCTTCTTTCGGCAAATGTTGATTCCTTTCAACAGACCGCATTCTATTTACCTTTGTGGCAGCCTTCGTATGTCTTAAATGTTCTTCATTTCCTTGTCTTTAATAAACATTCCACCAAGGTGCAGAAGTTCATCTGTTGGTTCTCATTTCCCCCCATTTATACATACCAATGGCATTTGCTCCATTTTTTCTCGCCCTTCGATACATGCATTTTCAAGACTCTGTTGCATCGTATAATCTAGCTAACATTCACTGCAAATCATTCAGGTTCTCCCCAAACAATATGGCGTCATTTGACTAATAAAATGTGGAGACCCAGCCCAAAAGTTGTCATCAGATAAAAGAGCTGGGTGCTACATTTGAGGGAGCAAGCCAGTCCCGTTGTCTGTGTCTTGCACCCATAAGCCAATTTTGGGGAGAATGGCGGCAGCTTCGGATGCTCTTATCAGGTGTGGGGCAGGGCCTGCAGCTTACCTCGGCCCAGAATTACCGGGTTTGGCTACCAAAACATCCAAACGACTTTTGGTCTATCTTTGTATCTGCCTGCCTTAGTTAGTAAACTCTCAGGTTGGCTGGTGTATTTTCTGCATCCCTCTCCCACCTGGCTGCCCATCCAGCCGTCCTTAGCCAATGCAGAGCATGGCAGGTTTGCTTTGTTTTTGAGAACTGAAGGCCCGTCGCAGCCTGTTGGGTGCATGGGCCCTAAGAGGGCTACCATCTCTACCTCGACTATACCCTTGCCTAAAGCCACAAATAGGCAGCAGGCGAACGTTCTGACATTCAAACCTTTCTCAGGGAGCAGCTGCAGGCCAAACACTGGGTCTGCACGCCCCTTGCCCAGCATAAAACTGCACTGCCCTTCCCAACCTCTGCTCGTTCACACCCCTTGGACCCACCAGAGCTCATCCCAGGCACATTGAAGAAACTCATCCCCCAGGATCCACCCTGGCTGCTTTTCTCTTTGCACCAGGGTGCAGGGACAGCATGCTTCCAGTCAACAGGCATGGACGCACGATCCCACAGGTTGCACAGCCACTCCATAAGCAGTGGGTTTGTGTGCTTGTGGGCCTTCAAGGGGCCTTGACTCTTGGCAACAGCCTAGACAAGGCCCTGCAATTTTCTTGGCAAAATTTTTGGAAGTGGTTTGCCATGCCCGCCTTCTCCCTAGGGTTGAGAGAGAGGGACTGGTTCAAAGTCACCCAGCTGGCTTTGTGCCTAAGACGGGACTAGAGTCTATGGCAGCGTTCCTCAAACTTGGCAACTTTAAGAAGTGTGGACTTCAACTCCCAGAATTCCCCAGCCAGCCATGCTCCCAGCTTCAGATCATGGTCGTGTGAATGATGATTCCTAGTCCAGGATATGGGGGCTGGTGCAATTGAAAAGAAAACTGGATCCCACAGGACTAACACTCAGCATGATTTAATTTTATTACTCATGCATTTATTTGCTCCGTGGTTTGCTCATAAGGATCTGAGCGGTATACTGTCCTGGTGCAATGAGGTTAAAATGTAAATAGGGCTGAAAAATTGGGAGATCCTGTAAAAACTTTCAGCTGCTCCAGCAGAGAAATGAAAGCATGGCTGGCTGGGGAATTCTGGGAGTTGCAGTCCACAAATGCTGGCTGGGGAATTCTGGGAGTTGAGAGTCCACAAATGCTGGCTAGGGAATTCTGGAAGTTGAAGTCCACATATCTTAAAGTTGCCAGGTTTGAAAACAGTGGGTTGTGGTATGGGGGTGGGCAACTATAATAAATTTTAACAAATAAACCAATAAATAATAGAATTCATGGGCTCCTGGTTTCTAGCCCGGTGCCTTTAAGCATTCCCCAAACTGGCACTCTTTTTCTATAAACCACACCCATGTTTTAACATTTCTCCACTCACACCACCTATACCTGCGCCCTTATCATTTTTCAAAATTCCTACAGCATTAATGACCTCTTTTTTTATCTGTCTTGTCTTTGAAACTGACGTGCGTAATATTCATTGTAATATCTTCCTTTCTGAAATCTCTGGGTAGCGTTCATTTAAGGTCTTTTAAAAAAAAAATTTTTCTTTTGTAGTTCTACTCTGCATTTTGAGGTCATTTCAAAAAGTAATTTTTAATGTTCTTATTTAATCTTGAATGGGTGTGGGTGGGCTTATATTTGTGTTTTTCCCCCTCTGAAAAAAAAGGTATCTCCGTTAAATGATTTTTTCCCCCCTATTTTTTCTGGATCCCCAGAAATATTAGTTTTCTTATTCAGTTGTTTTTTTTTTTTTAAATGTCACCTTTAGTAATTTTAAAGCACTCAGACATCATTCTAAGAAGAGCGAGAGTTACAAAATTCAGCAGTTTAAAGCCTGACATTTGAACCTTTGCAGACATTGTAAAAATGTAATGGTTCCTTGGGATGTTTTTAAGGCATAGAGTCATGCTTCCGTTATTGTGTATGGGGCATGGAAAAAGAAAAAAAAAAACTAAGAAAAGTTAGAAAATTAAGAACGCTTAAGTACAAATGTGAGAAAACCTACACTGGAATTAGATAGCATTCATTTAAATTCCACCCATTGAAATATTACTTCCATGCCCATACGGATCTCTAAAATTGTCCTTCTAATATTCTCTCAGTTCAGTTGCATTCCAAATCATGTCACCTCTTTTATATTTAATGCTGTTCATTCTGCTGGAGGTTCCTTGTTCAGCCCTCTTCGCCAGTCTCAGAACAATTTATTTCCACCAATGATGCTTTGCTCTTTGTCCCCCAGCTTG